AATTATAAATTAATTCTATTATATGTTTTAGAATGGTATTAATTTGATTAAAAAAATGTTAATAATATTAAAGAACAATCACATATTGTGATACTTTTTTGACATAATCAAAATAATAACATTAATCATATGTTATGGTTGCATAGCATGATACTAAAAATAATATACATGATCATATGTATATATAATCATATATTATGATTGCATAACATATGATTTTTTTGTATTAATGACATACATACAAAATAGTCAATGGCCTACAAAATAATTATATATGTTGTTAATAATTATTAGATTTATAGGTTAAAACATTTTTTATAATCAGTTGGTACATTTAATTATATTTAATTTATTAGTCTTGAGTACATATTTTTTTATTTTAACATAGTAACCAATTTGAGATTCTCCTTAAAGATAGTATATTGTTGGTTTGTTAAGATATTAATAAGAAATATTTGTGATTATATTTATTATAAAAACTAAATGATAGGATAATTACATGTGATGATTTTTTTTGGGAAGGTCCAAAATAAAATATCACACATGAATGAAATTAGTTGATTATATATATTAATACGTATATATTTGTGAATACATTTTTCACATAAAATATGTTATATTTTCTCTATTAAATTAGTTACAATTTATTTAAATGTCAAATTATTTTTTCAGTTTAGATTTAACTTTTGAACATCATTCTCGAGAGTGGTATTAAATATTTATAATTAAATACATTAATTTAGTTATATAATTATAAATTCAATTATATGTTTTAGAATGGTATTAATTTGATAAAAAATGTTAATAATATTAAAGAACAATCACATATTGTGATACCTCTTTGATATCATTAAAATAATAACATTAATCATATGTTATGGTTGCATAGCATAATACTAAAAATAATATACACGATCATATGTATATATAATCATATATTATGATTGCATAACATATGATTTTTCTTTTGATTAATGATGTACATACAAAATAGTTAATGGCCTACAAAATGATTATATATGTTGTTAATAATTATAAGATTAATAGGTTAATTTTTTTATAAATCAGTCGGTATATTTAATTATATTTAATTTATTAGTCTTGAGTATATATATTTTTTATTTTAACATAGTAACTAATTTGAGATTCTCCTTAAAGATAGTATATTGTTGGTTTGTTAAAATATGAATAAGAAATATTTGTGAATATATTTATTATAAAACTAAATGATAGAATAATTAAATGTAATGATTTTTTTAGAGATTGTCCAAAATAAAATATCACACATAAAAGAAATCAATATTTATGTTCGTAGGTTGTTCTATTCCGCGCTAGCTCCAAAGGGTCCATATCAATACCTCTGAATATCTTATCATTCCTAACCTTCCAAATGTACCAAATTAGCCAAGGATAAGGGTCCCTATCCAATTCTGGTTCCATTATCGCATTCTTCCTCCAAAAGAGATAATCCATATTTGCGTACGTGCTTTGTACCGGGAACAGAGCGGGATTGGTTGGCGTAGATGATAGAGCCCAAACTTGCAGGGCAGGTGGGCATTCAAATATTGCATGATTAATCGTCTCCTCGGGTTCCCCACAGCGAGGACAATGGTCGTCACATCTCATATGTCTATAGTTTAAGATGCTCGTGACAGCTACATGCCCTGTTATCAACTGCCACATAAGATGACATATCTTCTGAGGGGCTCTCACCTTCCAAGCATGTGCTTGGAGCTTTGTATTACTAGGCTCACATACTTCAGGTTCTTCTTCCTTCCACAAAATATTTCGTGCCACCCAGTATCCAGATTTAACTGTATATTGTCCAGACCTCGTATAGCTCCAACAGTACGTGTCCCGTCGATGCATTGAACTAATGGCCATACATCTAATGAGTGGTATATCATCTGCCGCAACATAATCGTGTAGTCGCCGATCATCCCATCTCTTCGTTGTTTGATCAATCAAATCGCTCACTCGCATATTTGGATGTAGAACCGGTGCGACAGGAATTGGTGGTCTCGCAGGTATAGTAGGAATCCAAGGGTCTTCCCAAACTTTAACCTCATATCCTGAGTGTACTGTTTGTCTGATTCCTAAAAGTAGCAACTCTCTCCCGGCCGCTATGCTTGTCCACACATATGATGGGTTGCTAGCCTTAATTGGCCTCAAGGGAGAACTCAGTCTGTAATATCTGCCTCTCAGTACGCGAGCTACCAGAGAGTCCGGGTTCTGCATCAATCTCCATAGTTGCTTTGCTAGTAGCGCGAGGTTAAACTCATGGATCATCCTGAAACCAATTCCGCCTTCTTCCTTAGTTAAGCATAGTTTGTCCCATGTCGACCAATAGATACCCCTTTTGGCGGATTTGAGCTCCACCAAAACTGTGCAATGGCAGCTAAATTATCACAGATCTCCAATGGGAGAAGAAAACAAGACATTACATATGTTGGAAGAGCAAGCAGAATCGATTTTATCATAACTTCTTTGCCTCCTTTAGAGAGCCATCTACCATTCCATCCATTTACTCTACTTCTCAGCTTATCCTTGAGGAAAGCAAAGAGTTTAACTTTGGACCCACTGATATCCTCAGGTATGCCTAGGTTCATTCCCATACCTCCTTCATTTTGGATCCCAAGTGTGTCTTTAATCTCTTGTCTCACCTCCTGTCCAATTCTTTTACCAAAGAGTAAAGAAGATTTATCAAAATTAATGCATTGTCCTGAAGCTTGTCCATATACCCGGATCACTTTCATCACTTCTTCACATTCACGGGGCTCCGCCTTACAGAAAAACAGACTATCATCAGCAAAGAGAAGATGAGACACCGAGGGACACGCACGTGTGATGCGCATCCCCGTTATCTTTCCTTGTCTCTCTGCGTGATTTAGAAGGCTAACAAGCGCTTCCGTGCACATAATAAAAATGAAAGGGCACAGAGGATCTCCCTGCCGTAGACCTCTCTCCGGAACTATATTTCCTCTTGGTTGTCCATTATCAATATTTATGTTTTAATGGATAAGATGTATATTCAAATATATGGAGAAAGTAAGATTGTGAGTACATAAAATATTCATGATATATACAGGTCAAGTTATTTGCCATTGTCATATGATAAACAGTATAAGTAAACAGGTTGTATATGATGTTGAGTATATGTACTTTATATATTTATATCTGGACCTAACTGGATTTTATAATATATGTGGCTAATGTAAATAATAATAAGATCGAATATTAACAGGTTGATTTCACATAAGAATATGATAAATTATTTCCAGTGATAGAGTGAAACTTTGTGGTCAGATTTTACTTGACGGTTAATATCTTATTTAAATGCAAACTGGTCGTTTAGGAAAAGAAATATTATTTTGGTCAACCGCATAAGATATATGTCGTTAATGATAGAAGATAAATGTTACGTTTTAAAAGTAATTAATATCTAAGGAGGGTCCCTTTTAAAAAAAAATTACACATGAATCAAGGTTGTAACTTCTATTTTAATATATAATTTTTATTATAATATATAAGTTAGGTAAATTTAACTTTAACTTTAACTTAAAAAATGGATATAATTTTTGTGTCCTCTATTTCTTTATATTCTGCCTATATTTCTTCAGTCCCACTCCCATAAACCATCGCTCAAAATTGCAAGAATGGTGCTATATGAGCGCGAAGCTGGTACCACTTATGTTGCTTCCGTTGCTTCCGTAGCGGGTTGTACCTGATACGGACTGGCATTGGATATATTAGGAAACCATCATGAACTATTGGTCTCACCCAATGATTTCCGATAGATTCTACAAATTTATCCTCAAGCACTGCAGCTTTAAAGATATGTAAACTCGGACGGTGTGACTCCATTCTCTAAGGATGTTCGGATAGCCATTCAGGTTCGATTCGAATCTATTTTGAATTTCCGGGTTGAAGATTTCAGCCCATTCAGTATTTATAATTTTCGGTCCGGATTTGGTTTGGATCTTTACAGGTTCAGTTAGATTCAGATAACTCGTTTTTATTATTTTCACAAAACAATTATAATTCATATACACTTTAAATTTCTCACAATCTAAAAATAAAAATAATATATAACATAGTAATTTGAATAATGAGTGCCCAAATACTTAATCTTAATATAAAAATTGGTTTGGCTTAACTATTTGGATAACAAATATATAGATATTTTAAATATTTTTGGTGTTTTGAGTATCTTTTAGCTATTTTAGACATTTATTTTTGATTATTTCTATATATTTTTAAGTTTTTTGGACATCTTTAAAATATCTTATATATTTTGGATATTTTTTAGATATTAAACATAAAAATAATTAATATATTCAGATACACAATATTGTTTGTTTTGGGTGGGGTTCAGTTTCAATTATTTAGATACCAAAATTTTGAACCTGTTCGGATTAATAACCAATTTCGATTCGGGTTCGATACTATTTTTTCAGAACGGATTCGGTTCAGTTTTTTGGATTTGGGTTTTTTTTTGCTCAGCTCTGCCTCTCATGGCCACTGGCTTGAGGATATGGGTGTTTAGGTAAGCCAAGAAACTAACTTCAAAGTAAAATACACGTTTGGTCATTAAACCCACATTTTGTTGATTATATGGTGATGCAGTTGCGGTACAGACTTGGTACTTTCATCACATACACATCTTTATACATTTCTTAGTATATGATTATGATACTTGCTTTGCCCGTGATATTACATGGTGGTGGTAAGGGGCGGAAGGACGGACAAAGGTGTACAAGTTAACAAGTTAGATAACCTTTGCTGCAGTAAGCGGGGTGGGCCACGAAGTTCCGGTTCTTGGCTGGCAAAGAGCTTCCAAGATTTTAGTTACACACAGAAGAGTACATTCGTTGCTTTTTGCCTATCTGTTTTAACTAGCAATGATAAGATCTCAAAGTCTTAAAACTGAGGAATGTGTTTCAATACAAGAAGAGCTTGGTTGAAATTCTAGAACATACTCAGAGGAATAAAACTGCCGAGAAACAAATATCTGATTCCATAAAGAGAATAGTACAGAGATCTTTGCTTCTGCCTGACTGAAACAAATATCTGATTCCATAAAGAGAAAATGTGACAAACAACAACAGTTTCTTACTTCATTCCTTCGCTTAGACCCGGCGGCATGCCTAAGCTCTGCGCAAGGTCACTCATTCTTTCTTTCATAGCCTGTGATAAATTCAAAGAAATCTCAAATTAGCATAGACGAAGAGAGACATATACTTTACTTGAGTTACGTTGTCATAAATGGTTTATGATTTCTTTACCACAACACTCTTGGCGTGTGCATCCTTGTAAGCCTCCGTGACCAACAGTGAAAGTTTCTGCCAAAAAGGAAAACCCACAACATGAGAAACCATAGAGCTTTGATAACAAGGTAGGGTGCGGTCAGTAACCTCGGAGCCTAACTCCATTGCTGCCTCAGTTATATCAGTACGGATTGGTTGCTGGTTGCCTGATAACGTAACCTGATACAAAGGTTTCAGGTAATAGATCTATTAGGACAAAACAAGTCTCATTATATTGTGTGAGCTGATCTAGTGGGACAAGACTGACCTTGACAAGCTCGCCTTCACAATAACCATCAAACTCTGCTCTGAAAGATTGGAACGAGCGGAAGAGACAAAAAAAAAACTCAATAACACAGATACTTGAAAAAATCTAACTACTAACTAGTTTAATGAGTGGGAGAGACATACGCAGCTAACTCTTTTTGAACACGAACAGCCTCAACTTGAACAACCATTTGAGCTTTCTTGACAGTCTCATACATATTCTGCATATTACCAAAGATTCCTCCTGCCTAGAACAAAAAAAAAAGAATCACAGAACTCATGAGTTCCGACCAAACCCATTTCGTGTTCTGAAACAAAATAGGAAAAAAGCTAAAACCTTTGACTGTCCATCCTCAGTATTATCTTTGTTGTTTCCACCTCCGAACAATCCATTCACACGAAGAGACCTTCTGGGCTTGTGCTGATTTGGCCATGACAACTTCTTGTTGTTTCTACTACTTCCTCTCTGGGAATTAAAGCCTGCAAATTTATCCAATCGAAAATGTATACTTAAATCCCAAATCTAGAATTGATAGAGAGATACAGTTCAGTAGATAAGAGAGAGACTGACCATGTTGGGAGAAAGTAGATAGAAAAGACTTGGTGAAATCGGTGGTCGACGCCATGGTTATTCTACCGGAGGAGATAAGAGAGAATGAGAGAAAGGGGCCGAAGATAAAACGGAGGAGGAAGGAAATGCTCTCTTTTTTTTTTTTTTTTCTTTAATTCAGGACTTTTACTTTGTAAGTTAGCGTTTAAGCTCTAAACCAATGATGGATCGCCACGTCAACTAAATAAAATCAAGAATTATTAGAGCATCATTAACCCAAAAACTTATTTTGTGTCTCTTACTCATTTTTAAATATTAAATGTTACTTAAGAGACATAGTTAAGAGATACCAACATTTTTGTGCTCCAATGGATGTCTCTTATTTAGGGGTTCTTAAATTACATGTTTTTTTTTCATTACCATTCCATAAGAATTTTACTTTCAATATATTTCATTTGACATTAATCCATATAAGCTGCAGAAAACAAGAGATGAAAACAGAACTAAAACCTGCTCAATAATTTCATGTCTCTTAAAATTTCTTATCGTCCTAATCGAGTTACCATGAGATTCAAAGAATGATAACAACTCACCCTTGCGAGGCAAAGATAGGAAGGTCCCCTTATGCGACCTAAACAAGTAGGTGAAGGACATGTCATAACATGATCAAATGCAAAAAGTGTATTTTTGGTATCAGATCACTGATATTTAGCAATCATTACTCAATGCCAGCAATCTCTATTTTTTCTGCACAAGACAGCGACCCAGGTATCACGTGTGAGTGCCGTTCTAGTTACAGGAGGAATGGCCTGCAAATTTAAAAAATTTGGTAAGCTGCTAAGCAATTTGGACGTTCCAAATCATTCACTGAACTATGCACAACAAATAATAATCATGATATCATTCATGACAGTGATTAAAGAATTCAATCAAGAAACTCTAACATAACTCAAGAAAGCATTTCAGAGAAAATAAGTGATCCTGAACAGAATAGCACAAGTTTATAAGGTGTCTACGAGGGAAACTATCAAAACATCTAAAAACTAAGCCTTGTGAACCAGAATTACGGTGGTATGACAAGAAGCTTTGCTCATGCCAATGAGGCTAATTCGGAGTAAGTACATTGAAGTTAACACTGACACAAACAAGACTTAAGAAAGCATTATTAAGACACAAGTAGCTTAAAGAAGACAACAAATCTCATTGGCCAAAAGAAGATAAGAAACAAAAAAAACAAATCAAAGGATAGGGGTCAAAAGCTATAGATAGAGATTACTGGTATGCTTTCCAAAACTCGAGACACGTTTGGGGAAGCAGCCTTCCCTTCAACAAATAGATAAAACGTAGAAACACCAATAACTTTGTGATAGACAGCCATGGCAAATAACAAAACGAAACGTAAATTCTCAGAAAGTCTCAATCTTTCAATCAATTTCATGAAGCCCACATTAGGAAAAAAAATCACAGCTTTATAGATCATAGCAATTCAACTTCAAATTAAAAATTTAGAAACAGAAGAGGAAGAAGAACTAATTAAAAAACTCAGAAAGAGAAGAAGATTACCTTGGTGGCGGAATCTTGAATCGTGGAGGAGATCGACCGAGGTGGACTGATGAATCGAAGGGAGATCAACCAAGGAAGCTATGGAAGAAAGGAGAGAGAGACGAAGAAACAGACGCAAGAGGTGGTTCTTGCGTAAGAGTTGTGAAACTCGCCTCTTACCAAATTTTTTTGGGTTTCAATTTTTTAAATTTTTTTTGGGCTTAAGAGTCCATCTTAGAACCACCGTTAATGGTGCTCTTAGTACTCCAAATTCGTGTAGCAAAAATCGAAGGCAAAGTAGAGGCTCCACAATTGAACTAGGGCTCGTAAAAGTTGGTAATTTGAATTCTCCACAAGTAAGTTAACAGAGAGGAGTAGGTGTGATGCGGATAGATCACTGAAGGTCAGTATAAGTTCTTTGCCACAGATGGTACTCTCTCCATTTCATATTAAATGTAGTTGTAGAGAAATTTTTTGGTTACAAAATAAGTGTCGTTTTCGGTTTTCAATACAAAATTTATTAACTTTATCTACTATTTTTTTCTATTGGTGAAATGTAGTTAGGTGTATAAATAATTATGTTTTTTTCTAGAAAATATGTAAAATTAATTGTTTTCTTAATCTATGTGCACAATTCTAAAACGACACTTATAATGAAACAGAAGAAGTATTTATAAAGGAGTTTAGAACAATGAGAGCTTAGGGATCATAAATATGGGACCAGACTATCAGTTTTACACTTAGAATCTGAAGCTCTGATTTGAATCATAGAATAGGCTTTACAATTCTTAAATGTAATGTTCACAAAAGATTGCCATAAGCGATTTAAAAAAAAATTACAATAATTTTGGTATTAAAAATAATATGTAATGATTTTATTATTAATTATTTTGTAGCTGCTATATATACAAGTTAAACTATCAAAGAAAATACTAATTACAATAAAATGTTTATTTAAATTTTAGAAATCTAATTTTCAGTTGATTTTATAATTAACTCTTTTATCGATAAAATAACAAAATCAATCAAGGTTTTTATGTAATACTCAAACCAAGGTAAAATTTATCCTTTTTAGCATTCAAATATTTCAGAAAACACTCTAACAACGGTCATCAATTTTTTATTTAAGAACTCAAGTTCTTCATCATCACATAAATATATGCTTCTTCTAATTATTTTATGCCCCTGGTCGGGGGATCATCCCCTATACCCACCCAACTATATCTCTAATCTCTCTTAGATACTTTTTTCTTTTAATATTATATGTTGAACGAAAAAACATAAAATTAAACTTGAAACGTGAATATTTTTTATTTGATTTATAGAATTTGATAAAATTATTTCATAAATCAAAAAACGTTTTTTCATATTTTCACGAAAATCATCAAAATATGATTAAAAACGATTTTAAAATATTTTTTTCGAATTTGAAAGCTATAGAATTTAAATATTTGCCCATGGGTTCACCCATCCATTGGGGGGGGGGGGTTTGTTTAGTTTTGAACATTGGGGAGGATTTAATTTAGGGGTTGAGGTTTTGATCAAAAAAAGAATTATGAAATAGGGGTATAGATGATTTTAGTGGGTATAGGAGATTGAGTGATGAGGAGGATGGGCAAAAGAGATGATGTTCCCCCTTGGTCTTTAGACTCTTTACATAAGTAAACAATGATGCCCTTAATTTTTTTTTTTTAAAAAATCTGTTGCCGTAGACGAATGTTACATTTTTTTTTATATTGAGGCACGGCTCTGTTTTCAGCTATTGAAAATGGTGTTTACACAGAAATCCAAATGTGGTCTAGAATCCACTGTCTAATAAAATGATCAAATGTAGAATTAATATCAAATCTCTAAATTTTGAAAATAAAAATTAAAACAAAACAGAAGCATGAAAGAAAAGTTTTTATATTCTTCCATATTTAGTGTTCATCAAATTAATATGTTTTCGATTGAACACAACTCTGTTTGTTTAAAGATTAAAAAGAATTGTAAAGAATTTCAACTAATTGTTTTCCATCAAGTTTATAATTTTGACTTCAATTTAGTTAATATTAAAAAAGAAAAAAAAATAAAAAAAAGACGAAGAAAATAAGAAGCCTCAGTTGCATTAAATTGTTAGTTAATTATATTTCAAGTGATTTACAAATCATAATTATAGTTCAACTTATGTAACAAATAGATATACATATTTACATGTTTCAGTTTAATCGATTATAAATCAAACAATATCCAAATCTTACGGTTTTTATAAAATCACATACATTCGGTTTGTATGGTATATACCAAAAATAAGCATATTATCGATTGTGTTAATATCTTTAAAAAATAGAAAATTAAAAAAAAAGAACTAATATATTTAAATCATTGATAACAAAAATTTTCAATGTGAAAAATTTAATACGTTTATAATTTATAAATGTTCTTGAAAATTCATTGAAATTTTTGAAACTAAAATAAGTATGTAATCTTATATGGTATATAGTTTAATCTATATATATATATATATATATATTTTATTATTGAATGATACTTTTTACTCATATGGTTTTAAAATCATGTGTATCTTTTTATAATAAAAATGTTAAACTATTGATCATTAATTTTTATCATAATAATTTTAATAGTTTTAGTCATTTATTCTTGGTTTTTAAAATTCAAAATATAACATATACGAAAAAATCTAAATTTTAATTTTATAGCTAATTTGATTGTTTGATTTATTTTAATAATATAAAATTAAAGAAAAATGATGGAGGATATACACATTGTTATCAAATATCTATTATTAGAAACATTAATTGTCATATATATATTTGTCATTTATGGTAATTCCGTAGCTTTTATTTAAGGAAAGAAATTAAAATAGTAATTATATCTAGCATAACAATCATAAATGCTTCTATCATAAATATCATATCATATCATATAGTTTGACCAACAAATATATCTAGCGACATATAAAAATCGAATGTGGACCTACTTATTTTTCAATTGAATGTAATTGACTACCTAATTGAGTGACACGTAAGCATGAGCTCTTTTTTAATTATTACAAAATTGAGGTTACAATTTTTCAAATGTTTCTCAATTAATATATAGGGGAAGTGCCATTAAAACTTAATTTTTTTTTATATTTTCGAAATTGTCTAAAAATCAAAAACACACAATACATTTCTTCTTATTTACAACAATGTCATTATCATAAATATTCTCAATCACCATTAACAACCATATTAGAGCTCTTAATGCTCAAGAATTCAACTTTTATCTATTTTTCGTTCTACACCAACAAATCTTCATCTACTCTCATTCCCTCTCCAATTTCATCTAAAAATCTCCCATAACTTTTATTTTCATAAACACAAATTTCATATTTTCGTGATTCTTCAGTAAAAACCGGCTAAGATGCTTCCTTGTGCTCATATATGGAGTTTTCACGGTGGAAAAGGTTGGAAACAAGATTTACACCCGAAAATGTAACATTTTACATGGATTTCGTCATTTTTCAGATCTGTGTCGCGATAGTAGACTGTTTTGTATGTCTACAAATAATTGTAGACCTACGGTGCAGTCTACTTGTCAACGCACATATTAGTTTTGCAAT